ATTTTATATAAATATAAATGAATGTAATATATTTAAAAATCTTTTAATGCAATAAAATTTTTTATTGATTCGATATGCAATTAACTAAGCCTTTCCAAAATATACTAATATAAGTATACATATATATAAATTTCTCCTCTTCTCCTAAAATTAAAATAATTATGATATGCTTCTGTAGGAACTTTACCATTTTTCAAGTTTTTGCGGAAATTAGAAATTTTGAAATACAGAAACAAATCTTCCTTCTCACAATAAATACGCTTCGTTTAACTTAAATTGTTCCCCGCTACTCAGAGCATACAGATTACCTACTCTTCTACTAGTCTGGACTCTATATTACTCCAGATGCCATACTCTGCATACAAATATATACTACAAGTAGTAATTCCCACAGCCAACGGACTGGTTGACGAGTCGAGTTAAATCACCTTATAAAGAATAGAAAAAAAGAGCTGTACGGAGCTCTAATAATATTCCACATACGCAGCGTATGCAAAGTGCGCAGACTACAGCGAGGGGGGCGCAGGGAGGGGCGGTCCCTGTTGTGGTCCCTCATCATCATTATGAATTTTCGACTGATGCTGCTGCTGTTGCTGCTGCTGTTGCTCCCTGTGGGCTGGTCTGGTGTGCTGCTCATGTGTTTGTTGAAAGGAAATACATACGTGCGCATTCATTTCATTTCCGTTTTGTGTCAGCGACGAGGAACGTGGCGGACGGGGAGGGCGGGCGGTCCAGGGTGTTGCGATGACTGTGTCTCAGTAGGTTCTCAGCTCGCTACATATGTGTGTGCCATGCGTGTGTGTGTATGTGTATGTGTGTATGTGTGTGTGTCCAACTATTTATTTTTATGACATAATGTAGCTACAGTTGCGATTGTCAGACCACCCTCGGCGCCCCTCTCGCTGTGCCCGTTCCTATCCCTCTGCCACTGTGAATATTGCCATCTAAATATGTGAAAATTGCTCATTTGAAATGTTACCAGAGAGTAATATGTGTAGAGAATGGGAAGGTTGGACTGGCATGAAGGCTGGCCTGCTGGGCTGCTGGGATGCGGGAGTTGGGGCAATGGCTAGGCAAATTGCCTGTCAGAAATTTTGTAGCCAATTTGTTTTTGTTTCGCTTCTGTTTTCATTTTCTTTCCATTTTTTTTCCCGTTTTGTCCGATGCTTATCGAAAGTGCTTTGACGCTTGAATTGTTGTGATAAATACAGCATTTGAAAATGTTTGTTGCTTACAAAATAAAATGTTTGTTAAATATAATTTTATGTGAAATGTGCGCATAGGCGAAAGAGCGACGTACTGAAAGGATTTTATGCTCTTCAGACTCAAATTAAAATAAAAATGTTATACTGCACTGAACATTTTGAATGGTGTAAAACATATTGCTATAAAACTCTCCATAAATTGATATATAAAATGAATAACAGCACTTCAAATGTGACTTAAATCAATACAAATTCGTTTATTTAAGATGAGTAAAATATGATCAACATTTATTTATTTACTTTTATCGTTCGTATTTAATATCACATATATCTATATATTTGTCTATAATATATTTTAATACCCAGACAGAGTCTTGTCTCTCTCATTGTTCCGGTCACAGCATTTAATGAATTTCCTTGCAAATGGTAAATGATGATAAATATGCTTAACTAATGGAAATGTTAAGCAGATCCTTTAAAGTGCTTCGGTTTCTAGGCGAGTGCCAGGCAAAAGGTCCCAGGACGAAAATGCGGCTCCTGCTGCAGCTACTCCTGCTGCTGCTGCTAGTTTCGCCGCCTATCGCGCTCTGCCATTTTTCTATTCTCTACTCTTCTTTTATATGCTCGACGGCGAAATAATCTCGTGCCTTCTAAAATACACTCAGAATGGGTATTTAAAGCAGGTAATGCAACTAGCACAGGGAGAGAATTAAATTTAATTATGATTTCAGAGTGCAATAAATCGATAGATCACGATCGATAACTAATAAAGGCATAGTGATATATATTTATGAGAAGTCAATTTTTTGGGGCAAAATTTTGATTGAGTAAAAAATGTATGGCAACCAATAAACAGGGCTGTTTTAGTATATAGGCAAACAATGTTTTTTATTATATATAAAAATACATAAACTAAAAAAATGTTTTTAATAATAT